GATTGCCCAACCTTCCTTCCGAGGAGTGGCTGGTGGGTTTGAACCGCCAGCCTTCTGGTTAGCAGTCAAGTGCTTTAGCCACTCTGCTACCAGAGCTAGTCTCTCCATTTTACCTGTGACCATAATTGAGTCATCACAAACACTGCAGCAGAATGAGTGAGAGTGTGTGTAACCACAATGAAGACCATTTCTATTGTCTACAGAAACCCCTTGGGAATGAAGGAAGGAGAAGAAAGGAAGTAGGATTTTTACCCCTCAAAGAAGATTACAATGATGTTTTTTATTTTCTCCTTTGAAAAATTACAAACTAGAAATAGAAGACAACTTCCTGAACCTGATGAAGTCTATTTACAAAAATCTATAATGAACAGCATACTTTCCCTTTGTGACTGAAAACAAGATAAGGACACTGTTTGACTGCTGTGATTCGATACTATACTGAAGGTCCCCGACAATTAGTAAGACAAGGAAAGAATTAATGAAGTGTGTATAAAAGCTAGAAAGGAAGAAATAAAACTGTCATCATGACTAGGTACTCAGAATATTCAAAATAATTTAAAGATAAATATCAGATCTAACAGTTCAACAAGTTACTAGATACAAAATCAATATACAAAAATCAACTGTATTTTTAAAAACTCAATTGCATTTCCATATGCCATCAACAAAGAGAAAATAAATTTTTTTTAAAAATAGGATTTTTAATACCTCAAAAAACAACAACAACAACAACAACTCTCCCAGAAATAAAACTATTAAGATGGGCAAAATTTCTATGGAGAAAATTATACAATTTAATTGAAAGATATTCAATATGCATATATAGAGAGAATAGAACATGTTAATAGAGTTGAAGTCTCAATATTATAAAGATGATATTTTCTCCAAATTCAATACAAATTCAATCTCTCTCCAATCAAAATCCCAACCAGATTCTTTACAGAACCTACAAGTTGATTTAAAGACTTACGTAGAAATCCAAAACAATTCCTGATGAACTTCTGGGTAAGAGGGCTTGTCCTACCAATTATCAAGAATTATTTTAAGCCTTTCTAGGAATACTGTGGAATTTACAGTCCTCACCTGAAGTTCCCTACTATCTCCCAAGTTAGGAAAAAAATAAATAGGGCAATATTTCTGCTATATCTTCCTTATCTTATAGGTTTTCCTCTGACTTGAGTTTTATATGTCCTTTTCATTTAAAATATTCCTTCAGACTTCCCAAGATTCTTATTCTTTCTCCATGTTGAATTACCTTATAAGCATCTGCTCTTTGAGTTTACTATCCAATACTTTGTCTCCTCCACCACGACTCCCCTAGAACCAAGGATATTAGAATTCTAGGGTCTGATGTTGCCTCAATCACTGCCCCATCTATGAAATGCATATGCATAGAGCAGTGCCTCACCTAAAACATCAGTTAGACAATTTACCTTCTTCTTCCCCATGACTTGAGTTATGCTGGTGATCTGTATCTTGAGTGTGAAGGGTCTTCTCTGGTTCCGGTAGAAGAGAAATGCTGTCAATGAACTCATCAACACCATCTAATATGTCATTCGCACAAAGCTGAAATGAAGGACAGAAGATCTAGGTCTGTGGAAGTCAGTGGAAATGATCATCATGTTTAGTTACAGAGTTGGTTTCAAAATGAGAATCACAAAGGATAGAGATGTGTCAGCCAAAAACTGGTACCAATCAAAATAGGTTTACTCATCACTGACTCTACCTAGTTAAATACAGAATAAATCACACTCTATTTATTACTCTGTCCTAGGAACTTTCATCATGTCCATACAAGCCTCAGAAAACATTCCTTTAAATTCCAAGACTTGATGGAGTTATACAACTGTTATAACCTCAAACTGTTTGGAGCAAATGGCTCTTTCTGGAGAAAATATATTTAAAAGACAATAAAGTAGTAACACTTGGCCAAAAATGCTCAAGAGTGACTTTACATTTAGCAATGTTGCAAATTTTACCCAGTACTTTTTATCTATTCTGTGCAAAAAACTCTGTTTGACTCATAGCAACCCCTCCTTGGGTTTCCGAGGCAGTATCACTATTGAAGTAGATTGCCCTGTCTTTCTTAAGCAGTATGGAAAGCACTGGAGATGCAGAAGAGGGGCAATAACAAGTGAGACTGGTTTTCGCCTTCATGGAATTCAGCAACTGAATAAAGAGAAGACAGAACTCCATGAAGAATAAGGGCCATAAAAGCAGTCCACATAAGGTACCACTATGGTTCTTATAAGAAAAAGATATCACTTATGAGGAACAAAACAGAAATGGCTTCATAGAAGAGGTGCCACTGATAGGCATGGAGAGCTGTGAATGTTTATCAAGTATGAGAATAGGTCTCCTACCCACTTAGAAGAAGAAAAAGAAATGAAACCCATAGGCCATTTGCTCAGTATGCTACCCCCACTATCATACACCACAGAAAAATAAAGAACATTCAAAGCCTTTCTGTTCTTAAAGTGGTAAAGTTGCCTGTTAAAGATCTCAAAGACTCCATATGACAGACGCCACTCAGCGAAAGAATGTATTGTCTTTCATGCAGCCTCTAACATCCACAAATACCAAATTATCAGCTTGGTGTTTTTTGTTTGTTTGTTTTTTTTTAATTTTTCTACCATATTCAGTTACATTCCTTCACAACACCATGAAATACATACCCTCTGCATCTGGGAATCCACCCGCCACATTCTCAACGTCTGATCACGGGACCATGTGACTAGTTGGTAGTCCTTTGACCCTAGGAATCACCAAATGAAAATCCTGGAAATTTTTCTGGATGCAAAATCAATTTTAATACAACTCATAATGGAGTGAGATTCACTTATTCTTTCAATCAGCAACATTTGAGCATCTCCTATGTGCCAGGCACTATTTTAGGCACTAGGACTACAGAACGGATAACAGTCTGTCTTTATAGACCTTACATTTCAATGGCAGAAACAGAAAAATACATACATACATAATATAATGCCAGATAATGATCGTGTTATTAATAATAACCCAGGATGAGAGAACAGAGACATATAGGGGAGCTATTTTTAGATAGAACTCCCTGAGGAACTCACATTTGAACAGAAACTGTAATGAAGTGAAATAATAACTAGCAAATTAGCAGGTAAAGAGTGATGCTGGGATTTAATATCACACTAATATCTCCCCTCTACAAATGCTCTTTCTTTCACGGGCTCTTGAGGAGCTGGGGATAAGTATTATGTTTTGCAAAATGAATTGTTTTAAATGCATCATGTATCTTACTGTTTAAAATAATTTTTGGGTAAATAGATGCATCTCTTTATAAGGTGAATACTCACTCTCTAATGTTCTTAATTAACTAACATATATTTTCACACACCAGGTTTAGTCAAAAAGAAATTCTGAAAAGGCTTGAGGTGCTTTATGAAAGATCAGGGTAATTATGTTGTAATCTAGAACTTTCACAGCCATCTTAGGAAAGCAAAGAATTTAGAAATCATTTCATCTAATTCTCTTATTTGATGGATGGGAAAACCAAGGCAACAAAGAAAATGGCTTGTCCAAGGTAACAGGGTGTGATGGTTAATTCTGCCTGTCAACTTGGCTAGGCTACAGCTCCTAGCAGTGTGGCCAAGCACTAGTCTAGTTGTTGGTCCACAATGTAATGTAATCAATCAGTTGCAAAGGGAGTTTGATCACAGTGTGCACGCCCTCCAACCTATCAACAGGTATTTTGGCAGAACTCCCCCTCCCTCTGCACTCCTTCCACTGCATGATATGTAGATCTTGGGATGTAAGCTTGCAGCACTCTCTAGCTTGGCCCCTGCCCAACAAATTTTGGACTTGCTAGCCCCGAACTGCACAAGCTACTTCCTTGAAGAAAATCAGTCTCTCTCAATATAGCTATAGAAATACATAGGGCTTCCAAGGCTGCAAATCTCTACAGAAAAAGACTGCCATATCATTCTCCCATGGATCCACTGGTGGGTTCAAACAGCCAATCTTTCAGTTAGCAACCAAGCGCTTAACCACTGCACTACCAGAGCTCCTAGAGATATAAATATATTTCACAAGCCCTGTTTCTCTAGAAAATCCTAAGACAAAGGGCATTAGTGGCAAAACAGCAGACAGTTCTCTATTCACTGTCTCAGCTCCTTCTCCATGTCATTACCTTCAACCAAGCCTGCAATGACAATGCTCCACAGTATCCCTGTGCACTCCTCACAGTAAGGCAGCAATCACTCAGAACCACTGTCTGCTGTAAGTTCCACCATCTAGCCTCATGCCAACATCAAAATTTTGACAGTGTATCTGGCCAATGTTCCTGACTCCGCCATTGAGGAAGGGGTACCTAATTCCTCTCTGAAGTCAATACCCCTCCCTATGCCTTTGACTCTATTCCCGCAGTAGGTCCTCTGCCAATCAGTCTATTCTACTCCTTGCCTTTGAAGGCAACTTCATTCACAAAACTGCTATCACCATCTATGCTACCTTATGATCTGGCCTGTGTCCTCAATCCACTTTCACAATTTCCATCTTAATCAATACAGGGTTTTCTATTTGTTAAGTGCTTTTTCTCTTAATCTGCATTTTGATCCTTCAGCAACACCTGAAACAATGACTACCCTTTCCTTCATGAAACATCGTCGTCCCCTGGCCACAACACCCTGGTTCTCTTCCTATCTCTCTGGGAATTCCTTCACCCCCAGTGAAAATTACAATCAAAGGTTGAGGTGGTCCAGGAAAAAGTGACTGAGAAAACATGGCAATAAAAGTCCACCAGAGCAACAACATTAGGTTGTGAGAAAAATAAAACACAGGAATGCATGCATGATAGTCACATTTATAAAGACTCAAAAACAAGCAAAATGAAACTATTTCTAGGAATAAATAAGTGGGTGCTAAAACTGTAAAGACAAAAAGAAAGGAAATTACTCTCATAAGCTAGGACAGTGTTTAACTCTGAAAAGAAGAGGATGGTGACTGGGAAGCTTCTGAGGTTCACAGAGTTTCATTTTATAATTACTTATTAAATTGTACACATTTTAAGGAATTTTCTAGATACATGATTGCAGTGTAGTAAATTACTTAGTGTGGCTTTTCTACCCATAAGTCTTTGTAAACTCCAAGGTGGGATTTGCTATGAGCAACTAAGGAGCTCCTGATTGCTGAAGTTGTCCACCTGGAGTAGTTTTGTTGGGCGTGGCACAAAAACAATGTTCTGGGATGTTCCCACTCTCTCTTAGGTGTTTAGGATTCTGATGTTATGATTGGTTGGTTTGGCCACTCTGCTGGGCTCAAAAAGAGACCTCCTAGAGGCAGAACTCTCTCTCTGACTGCTGGTTGAGGAAGACGTGCTGCTGAAAGAGACACGCGCTCCTAAAAGAGACACGTGCTGCTGGGAAAGAGACGTAAGAGACACGCATTGCTAAGTAAGACACCGAGGGACATACACTGCTGGGGGAGAGACTGTGAGAGACTTGGCTGAGAGATGGCGGGCTGGGAGAAAGATTGAGCATTTTTCCTGAACTTGAATTGTAGCCTGGTGCTTCCCTAATAAACCCCGTAATCTGTGAGTTCTGTGTGGCCACTGCAGCGAATTATCGAACCCAGGAGAGAGGTGGTGGGTGCTCTGGGAGGAACGGTTGAAGAAAAGGGTTGGAGGGAGGCAGCATGTCTGGCCTCGCAGGAATAGGCCTTGGGCTATTGATGGTGATTCTGTCTTCCTCTTGTGGGATTAGAGGAAGTCAGAACATGTGGCCTCCTTGTCCTTTCTGCAATGATACATTCTGTAATTTAAAAAAGACAGCCTGGAACCTATACTCAAAATTTCACTACTGGCCTGAGAACTTCTCTCACTCACCTTCCTTCTGTTTCCTCCACTGGAACTCCAGGACCACATCATCATGCCCCACAAAGGTATGGACCGGGGTATTCAAGTCAAAGACATTCCAAAGGAGAAGGCTATTTTCTCTCCGCAGCTGGGGAACCATCACAGTCACTAACCCATTACTGAAAGGCTAAGGACAAGAAAAGGGAAAACACATGATTATTCCAGGTAGAATCTGCTGAGTCTTGAGTTACCAAAGCTGGAATTCTTCTCTAACTTAGAGGATGGTAGGCCCCAACCTATTGTGGGAAATTTTTCTTTTTTTAAAAATTTTTTTAAAAATATATTTTATTGAAATATAATTTATGTACAGTGAAATACACAACACTAAAGTGACATGGGTCAATGCATTTTTTTTTTTGCAGTGTTCCTTCCCCTCCCCTCCCCTCCCGTCCCCTCCCTGGCAACCAACAAAGAAAGTTTCCCTCCATATATAAACCTTTCCTTGACCCTGCACCCTCCACAACGAACTAATACTATATTTGTCCTTCTGTGATTGACTTATTTCACTCAGCATAATGTCCTCCAAGTTCATCCATGTTATGTGGTGTTTTGCAGACTCTACATTATTTTTTAATGCTGCACAGCATTTCATTATGTGTATATACCATAGTTTGGTCAACCACTCTTCTGCTGATGGGCATGTAGGTTGTTTCCATCTTTTTGCCATTGTAAATAGTGCTGCGATGAATGTGGGTATGCATCTATTTGTTCTTGTCCTGGTTCTCACCTCTGTAGGATATATATCTAGTAACAGGATTGCTGGGTCCAATGGTATCTCCAATTCCAGCTTTCTAAGGAATCGCCATATTGCTTTCCACAGTGGTTGTATCGCTTCACAATCTCACCAACAGTGTATGAGAGTCCCGATCTCTCCACATCCCCACCAGCATTTGTTATTTTCTGTCTTGTTGAACCTTGCCATCAGTGCTGGGGTGAGACGGTATCTCATCGTTGTTTTGATTTGCATCTCTCAGATGGCCAATGATTGTGAACATCTCTTCATGTATTAGCTGGCCACCTAAATATCCTCCTTGGTGAAGTGTTTATTCATGTCTTCTGCCCATTTTTCATTTGGATTGTTAATTCCTTTGGAGTTGAGGCACTGGAGTTTTCTATAAATCTTAGAGATAAGTCCCTTGTCAGATATGTAATTATCAGCAAATATGAATTTGTTGCTCTCATTTTTGTTATGTGCTTTTTCGTGGTGTCGATTTCTTTGTTCCATATAATTTTCTATGCTGAGCTCATTTTATGAATTGCATTATCAGTTCCTTTGTTGCTATTGTTTTAGTATTTGCTAAATATTTGTGCTGGTCCTCTTTTTGATTTTGATGTGAAGGTTTATCATTTTTCTTTGAGGTTACCTGGTGATTTATAGTTTTTCTAAGTACCATGAGCTGACCATCACATCTATCTTTCTCTTTGTTTTTGGAAAGGACCACAGCAAGTAAAAAGTAAGACAAAGCCAAAAGCTTGGAGAACTTTGAGCTGACCATCACATCTATCTTTCTCTTTGTTTTTGGAAAGGACCACAGCAAGTAAAAAGTAAGACAAAGCCAAAAGCTTGGAGAACTTTTTGCACCCTAAAATATGCAAATAGTTTTGGCCATATGCATTAGAACACACTGTTTCCCTTTGCAGCTATTCCCCATGACTTCTCTCTCAAGAGTTAAGCAGTGCTTTCCCAGAAGGAGCATTCACGCTTGACTGGGGAAAACCTTGTGGCAGCACACTTAGTGCTTACCATGTGCAATGCACCAGAAAACCACATAGAATATCACCTTCCTACTACCTCAAATACTCCTTCCCACTACCTCAAATAGTACAGCTTGTCAAAGGAAAACCTTATCATTGCAGGACTGACATGCTTTGTTTATCAACATTCAACCTGCTGGGAAGCTAGGGGTTCATTTGGTTTATAATTAGATTCAGTTCTTTAATAGTCACAGACACTCAGAGCACAATTAGCTTCACCTCCCCACCTGGCAGCACTCCTGAACTTTCCTGTTTGTTTTTTAAAGCAAACATATTAATCCAGAGAAGTATTTCAAATCATAAGAGCAAGGTCAGATTTCTTGGCAAGTGCTCCCAGATGCAAAAACAACATAATACCCAATTATATGCTATGCTCCACAATGCCCCAGGTGACAGCCTCAAGGATAAAGGTAGCTTTGTTCATGCCCGGGCTCACTTCCATGTTAACATTAAAGGAAATATATTATCTGTGATAAGCAGCTATGAATATAGCAATGGAGAAATTGTTGGAAGTTTGATAATAGTCTACCCCCTATGTTTGTAGCATTTTATGGCTTAGAAACCATTTTCATGCATATGATTTCAAAAGAAAAGCATATTGTGAATGTACCAAATGCGAATGAACTGTACCTGGTAGAGTGGTTAAAATGGTGAACTTGGTATTATGTGACTTTTACCACAATCAAAAAAGAAAGTCACAGTATAAATTACCGTTCATACTCTGCAGCAGAGGAAACTGCTGCTGAAAAATAGTAAGTGGCTTGCCCAAGGCCACAAAAATATTAAATGGTGGAGCCAGGCCCAAATCCCAGGTCTTCTGAATCTAAAGCCAGAGTTCTTTCCATCAGAGTCCAATGGTTTTAGCCTCTCAACTCTGATGCCATCTCCCCCAGCTCCCCTTCCATCGTGAGAGTCTTACACTGCCTGGCTTCTGTCCAGCTGTGGTCAGAAATTCTAATATGGAGAGCTAAGCGACATTCCAAAGGTAACTTTCTAAACAGGTAACAATTTTAAGCCACCTTTATCACCTCTGCCCGTTCTAAACCAAGACAGAAAGAGAAAACTGCCTCACAAAAGGAGAAAGAGAAGATAGATGTCCCTTGGTCCCTTGAATGTGCAACACTAAGATGAAACTTCCCAGCAAAAGGTAGGGTGTGTCACTCACAGTGTATCTGGCCTTCCAGACAGGCACCTGGCAAGGGAGGATATTGAGGTATTTCCGAGGCTGGCGGTAATCCCAGAACTAGACATAAAAAAAAAAAAAAAAAAAAAAGCAGAATAATTTCTGAAACAATGCTATCAAAAAACACAACTTTTGAAATAAATATACTCTTTAAACTCATTGCTTTTATATTTTAATTTTTATTGTAGTGAAATATAACAAAAATTTGCCATTTTAACCATTTTTAAGTGTTCAATTCACTGACATTACCTTCACCATGTTGTGCAACCATTATCACCAATTCCAGAAGTTTTTCATTGCCCCCAAAAAAACTCAGCATCCTTTAAGGTCAAATAGTGAATGATCCCACTTATATAAATGTCTACAACAGGTGCATTCTTAGAGACAGAAGGTGGACTGAAGGTCACCAGGGGCATGGAGGAAAGGAGAGCTATTGCTCAATGGCTATAGTGCAGTATGTCTGAGGTAATGAAAAAGTTTTAGAAAGAGGTAGCAGTGATGGTTGCACAGAGTTGCACACACACACACAAATACACATAGAAACCAAAGATTACTAGTGATTACCAGGGGTAGGAGGGAGGTGGAAAGGGGATGCTTTTGTTTGCGGGGCATTGTGTTTATGCTAATGGTGGTGGAGTATTTTGGAAAAGGACAGCAATAATGGTGGCAGAACATGAAAAAATGTCATTAAGGTCCCTAAGGTGTAAATGAGAAGGTTGTGATGTTGGTGAATGTCTTCTGCATGTTTTCACCATAATAAAACTAAAAAACAGAAAATGTTAAACATACACATACTGTATGACCCAGCCTAAAAAATGAAAACTTCTGTTCATAAAAAAACCTATACATAAATGTCTTAGCAGCCCTATTCATAATCACCAAAACCTAGAAACAGTCCAAATGTCCTTCAATAGGTGAACAGATAATAAATTGTGACTTAGCCATACAATGAAATATTTACCCAAGGAGCCCTGGTTTCTCAGTGCTTAAGCACTTGGCTGCTAACTCAAAGATCTGTGGTTTGAACCCACCAGTGGCACCAGCGGGAGAAAGATGTGGCAGTCTGCTACCAAAAAGATTATAGCCACAGAAACCCTATGAGGCAGTTCTACCCTGTTCTATAGGATCCCTCAGTGTCTAAGGTATTTGACTGCTAACCAGAAGGCTGGTGGTTCAAACCCACCAGCCGCTCCTCGGAAGGAAGATTGGGCAATCTACTTCTATAGAGATACTGCCCTAGAAACCCAAGGAGGGGTCTCTATGAATTGGATCTGACTTGGCAGCAGTAAGTTTTGAGTTGGAATTAGCTCATCAGTAGCTGTTAATAAAATTTACAAACTATAGATTTTTGAAACATCTTGGATGAATCTTAAAGGCATTATGCTAAGTGAAAGAAGCCTGTCACCAAAGGTTACATATTACATGGTTCCAACTGCATGACATTCTCAAGAAGACAAAACTACAGTGATGGAGAACAGATCAGTGATTGCCAGAAATTAAAGGCAGAGAAAGGGACAGAACAAAGAAGTTTACTGGGGTGATGGAACAGTTTTGTATCCCAGATGCAGTGGGAGTTATACAAAATAACACATGGGTTAAATTTCATAAAACTGTACACCCTCCCCCAAAAAAGTCAATTTTATAGTATGGTAAATTTTTTAAAAAAATTTTTTATTGTGATTTGGGTGAAAATTTACAGAGCAATTCACTTTCCATACAGCAGTTCACATACACTTTGTCTCATGACATTGACCACAATTTACCACAATGCAACAGCTCTCCTCCCACTTCCTCCCTGTGCCCACCCTCCATGCACTCCTGCCCCCTGAGCTATCTCCCTGTGCATAAGCAGCCCTTCTCTCCCATGATTGTTCTCTCCAAGGAGTGTATCTACCTCAGGTAAATGTTCGACTCATACGCCTCTCTTTAGTTTGGCTGGAATCCACAGATGTGGGTTCAATTCCAGACCTGAAGAGCATCTAGGGGCCATAGTCTCAGTGGTTCCCCCAGGCTCTGTTGGACCAGCAAACCTAGTCCCCCTCCTTTTTTTTCTCCAAATGATTTTGAGTTTTGTTCCACATTGTCCTCTCTCTCTATCAAGGATCTCCTACATAGATCCCTTTCCAAGTGGATGACAGTGCTAGCCGGGCACCATCTAGTTCTTCTGGTCTCATAGTCATATAGGCTGCAGATCGGATGGTGGACCAGTTGCTAGGACTAATTGTTTCCATGAATTTTGGTTTTCTTCATTCATCTTTGTTCTGGACAAGGAGAGACCCATTGTTGTATCTAGATGGCAGCTTGCTAGCTTTCAAGATCCCAGTCACTACTCGCCAAAGTAGGAGGCAGAACATGGTTTTGTATAGTATGTTATGCCAATTGAGCTTGATGTCCCCTGCGATTATAGTCCCGAGCCCACAGGTTCCACTACTTGGTCCCTCTGGGTAGCTGGCTGTGACCAAGCAGTGACTACAACCTTGCCCCCTGTCAGCTCTATTATATACCTGGGAATTCTGATCATTCACATAAACTTATAGGGCCACTGTCTGTTAAATTCATAAAACTGTACACCCTCCCCCAAAAAAGTCGATTTTATAGTATAGTAATTTTTTAAAAAAAGAGAAGAAAAAACTTACAATCCCAAGTGTTGGAAAGAATATACGGCAATCAGAACTCTCAATCATTGTTTTGTTGTTGTTAGGTACCGTCAAGTCAGTTCTGACACATATCATTCCTATGTACAACAGAACAAAACACCTCCTGGTCCTGCACAAGCCTCACAATTCTTGCTATACCTGAACCATTGTTGTAGCCACTGTGTCAATCTACCTCACTGAGGGTCTTCCCCTTTTTCACTGACCTTCCATTTTATCAAGCATGATATCCTTCTCCAGGGAATAGTCCCTTCTGACATGACCAAAGTAGATGAGGCGAAGTCTGGCCATTCTCACTCCCAAGGAGCATTCCAGCTGCAATTCTTCCACAGATTTATTAGTTCTTCTGGCAGTCCATGGTTCAGTATTCTTCACCAACACCACAACTCAAAATCATCAACTCTTCTTCAGTCTTCCCTATGCACTGTCCAGCTTTCACATGCACATGAAGCGATCTATAAGACCAAGCCTAGGTAAAATGCACCTTAGTCTTCAAAGAAAACATTTGCTATTCAACACTTTAAAGAGGAATTTTGCAGCAGATCTGTCCAGTGCGATACATTATCTGATGTCTGGACTGCTGCTTCCATTGGTGTCTATTGTGGAACCAAGAAACATGAAATCTTTGACAACTTCAATCTTTTCTCCATTTATCATGATGCTGCTTACTGGTCTAGTTGTGAGAATTTTCATTTTCTTTATGTGGAGATGTAATCCATATTGCAGAGTGTAGTCTTTCATCTTCATTAGTAAGTGCTTCAAGTTAACCGCACTTTCAGCAAGCCAAGTTGTTGTTGTCTGCATATCACAGGTTGTTACTGAGTCTTCCTCCAATCTTGATGCCATGTTTTTCTTCATATAGTCCAGTTTCTCAGATTATTTGCTCAGCATACAGATGGAATAAGTATGGTAAAAGGATACAACCCTGATGCATACCATTCCTGATTTTAAACCATGCAGTATCCCCTTGTTCTGTTTGAATGACAGCCTCCTGGTCTATGTACAGGTTTCTCATGAGTACAATTAAGTGTTCTGGAATTCCCATTCTTCTCAATGTTATCCATAATTTGCTATGATCCACGCAATTGAATGCTTTTGCATAGTCAATAAACACAAGTAAACATCTTTCTGGTATTCTTTGCTTTGAATCAAGATCCATCTGACATCAGCAGTGATATCCCTTGTTCCACATCCTCTTCTGAATCCAGCTTGCATTCCTGGAAGTTCTTTGTCAATATACTGCTGCAATTGTTTGTGAGCCATGGGATTCAGGTAAGGGGAGGGAGACAGGCCCCATCCCAAGAGGCAGGAAGGGGAGAAAAGCCAGAGACCACAAAGTCATGGAATCCAGGTAAGGGGAGGGCAGAAAGGTTTCAAACAGCTAAAGGGGACAAACTTGTCTTTCAGTTTGTCATACTGTGGTGGCCTGTGTGTTGCTGTGAGGATTGAGGCTACAGCACCAGTGTTTCAAACACCAGTAGGGTTGCACATTGTGCACAGGTTTAAACACAGCTTACAAACTGAGACAGATTAGGAAGAAGGAAGAGGCCATCCACTTCTCAAAGAATTGGCCAGGGAAAACCTTATGAATAGCAGAGAAACACTGTCTGATAC